AATAATTTTGCTTCGAGATATAAAGCTAGTAAGGACCTTATAAAAAAACAAGAAGCAATGTTTTCATTTCTCTCCGTTTCAGTGCAGATTATTATTATATTTCTTGAAATTAAATGATGTTTTTACGCGGGGCAATCATCTTGTACATGCGCTTTTCATATGAAATATTAAAAACTGATTAATATACAACATAATCACACCGGCATTTTGTCCCATATACACGTSGTTGAGTCACTTCAAATATATACCTATCATCTAATGCATTTTCATGCAGTACCACTGGAATGGATGACGCTGTATGCCAACATGCCGTTCATGCTTCTCTTCACTGATATTCGACAAGGATTATTTTACGCAATGTTGATGTGTTTCTGGGTAATTTTTACTGGAGAGCATTTACTGGTATGTACTTCCGACTAAACTAGAGCCGTCTTTTGATGGCCTAACATGTCTAAACAACATCAGTTGTATTAGTTGTCACCCGTTTCCTCTTTTCTTAGGCTTCTTCTTTTTCTTCTTTAGTTTTCGCTTTCTTTTCCTATTTCACTGGAAAAAATCGCGCGCTTTAAAGGTTGTAAATTTGATGTAAATATGATGTAAGTGTCCAAAATTCTGTAAATTTTATGTAAATGATTTCCATTAAACTTCTTCCAACTGAAGATGACTCATAGTCGAAAACGTTTTTCAATGTTTTCATTTAATAACATCTATATATTTTCATCCTTGTACATAATAATAAAAAACTTTCCATTAAATGTGCAGAATTTTGGACACTTACATCCTTTAAAGCGCGCGATTTTTTTCCAGTGATTTCTCCTTCTCATTTTTTATCCGTCATCTTCTCCTYTCTCATCCATGTCCAGTTCTTTCCTCAATCCCAGCACAATTATTGTTATTCTTGCGGTATACAAAGTAGTCTCCTTTGCAGCCTATACTTTTGTCGGACTTCCATCGATCCTGTCCCGCCCAAAAGAGAGGAGGAGGAGAAAATTTGACGAAACCGGAAGTTGCGGCTGTGAGTGAGACTATATACTAAGTATGCTTTTTAAGTACGTCCCTTTCTGTTACAATACACTAGGATCAAGCAGAAAGGAATAAGATCAAGGCATATCTGCCCCAAGTGTGCTTTATCGGATTTGGTGGATTTTGCTTGCTTGTGTTTGATGTTTGTGAAAGGTAAGGATCATCAGTTTCCTTTGCAGTCTCACCCCTTTTGTCGGGCTTCCTGTCCATCCCTAAAGAAGGGGACTAGAGACCACAATGCAAGTCTCTATATCTTAGACCAACACCTACGAAACCAACGCCTTTATTTACAATAGTGCATACAAGACCGTAAAGGATTATGGACAAAAAGCTTTGAGCTACTGAACACTTATCAACTTATGTTGTATTATAGAGGTTATCAGCTACACAATCCATTCTTCAGCATTTGGGCGACAAAACTTGGAAGCGACTTAGCTGTATCCTTTCACATTCRGTTTAATATTTTATTATTCGTATGCGGATGCGGGAACTAATACAATTAGATCAAAATAAAGTTAGATAAACGAAGGGGTTTTCTGTCAGTTCACCGACTAAAATGGCGCCATGATTGCTTTCATTAGCCTGACATATAATTGGGACCTTATACTAATACAGTTTGCTGTAGATGTTTTTCTTAACCATGTCACTAAGTATGGATTCATTATCTCGGCTGGTGTTTGCGCGTCTTTGTATTTCTTGTTCCTGCTCGTGTTGGTTGTCAAGGTTTTCTTAAACATTCGAGGAAAAAGAGCAACGTTTAAGAATATGTCCAGGGCACGACGCCTTAACTACGAGGTACGGTTACCAGTATAACGATCATTCTCACTGTTGTTTCTTACATAGGCTGACCAACTATTGCTCGAGAGAAGAAAATAACGACCTCGAACGCTTTTATTTATCGCTCTTAGTGAAGTGCGGATTACCTGTGGTAATATGTCACGATCCCATACCTCGCAGCTTACAAACAAATCTCTTTCTGTTATAAGGTGTGAAACTCTAGTCACACATCGATCTATCACGTGAACAGTTTTCCACATTGTCACAGACTAGCTTGTATCCCCCGAGGCAAGGGACCATGACGTAATACCACAGGTAATCCACAAATTACAAAGCGCGCGCCCTAATATTATAAAAGCGTAAGCACTTCGTTCTTTTCTAGTTGGGCAGCCTATTTTTTTCATCAGAGTTATCAAAGTTATTGTTTTTCGCAGGGTCTTATATTTCGTTTCGAGTTCTTGATGGTTGTGACACTGTTGTGCGCAGCTTTGACCGTGATATTCTTCATAATAACCAACGTTAATGAAGCACACTGGAGATTTGGCGAAGAAGAATCGTCTGTCGAAATATCAAGTAAGTTGCTTTAAAAAAACTGAAAATTGGCACTTTATCATTCAGGCCCGTAGGCTGGGGGGGTTCGGTCAGTTCTTACACACTATACCTGTGCATTGAGCTAATTTAGTTAAACATTTAATATAGGTCAGCATTAAAAGAATAAGGACTAACGCAAAATGTGTTCACTTGTGTTTATGACTATGCGCTAGTGAAAACAATTCCAGTGCTTTTCATAGCTTTCTCTTTATGTTTATGTTTATGCTTATTCCTATGCTTATACCTAGCATTGTGAAAACCATCCTTTATTAATAACTAAAATGACGTCCTATATTACTGWCTTTACTATCTTTTCAGGTGCGCTGTTCACGGGTATCTATGGCATGTGGAACGTTTATGTTTTGACCGTCATGTTCTTGTATGCCCCCACTGCAACTGATCCAGTAACTGGTAAGACAATAAGACAATATGAGTCTTAAAAATACGTCCCTGTTTAAACCTTCAAAGAATCGCAACCAACCGCTGTACCTTGCGAGCCGAAGCGCCATTTTAGGTGGAGTCAAAAATGGCGGATTTGTAGGATTTCTTAAAGTGAGCGCGAATCGTCTTCCATCCTTTCAGTTTGGACAGAAATGACAAAGTATCTCACAGGTTCTATCAATCTAGAATCTTTTGTATTCTTGACGATGCTTGACGCATTTAAACGTATGTAAAAAGTAACACGAGCGCGCGCTTTATTGTCGGGTTGGTTGAGATTCTTTAAGGCTTGACTGAATGATTTCCAATTTTTTTATCTTCAGCTCAATACGATGCGAACAGAGAAACTGTTGAATTGACTGGAGCTGTTGACCCTACATCTGGTGCAAGGGAGTCTATTGTTTACGCAATGGCTGGAAAAACTGCGCAAGAGTAAACCGCAACGACGGAACAACTGGGACTTCTGTGTATGCGCGGAATTTAGGACTGGGTCTTATATGAAACGGACGCGAAGTTATCATAAAATATCTCACCTCTTGTGGTTGGACAAAACAAGCTTCATATTTGTGATTGGCTTAGAATTATAGAATGTCTATTAGATATACATGTACACTGTTACTTTCAGGTAGTTGGTTTAGCTCAAAAAATGAAGCAAAAACAAAAATTGTTTCTGGTTGAAAGGTAGCAAGCAGCAAAAAGCGAGACTCTGGTTGAGGTGTGCGAAAACCAATTTATTTCTGCACGTTCAAATTTTGTGTCGCTCCATGCAATGCAAAGACAGTGAGTTATTTTTCAAATACGAGAAGACAACTGTTTAAGGCCCGTGACACTGCATCCAATATCCTCGGCTACTAGTAGAATATCTTGTTTTGCTTACAAATTCAGTAACTCTTGTTTAAAGGTGCTTCCTTGCTGAATCGAAATCAAAGACAGCGAATTTAGATCGCAGAAAGGTTCTTGGATTCATGTGGGACTTTAAATGGAGTATTACAGACATTGTATTTTCAATCGATGTCTTTCGTTCTTTTCCTTATTTGCTTGTTTTTTGTTGTTTTTGTTGTTGTTGTTGTTGTTGTTGTTGTTTTTGGTAGGTTAGTGCTTGTTCTATTTGTTTCGTTTCGCATTTTGTTTAATGGCTTTGGTTATATTTATTTCTTTTTTTTCGGTATTTGTAATTGTAATAGACTTATTATATATAATATATCTTCATGAATTCAAAAACATTTATTTTGCTATATGAACATTGCATTATTTTATTTATATATTACAATAAAAGATGTCATGAAGTATTTATCATTTTTTTCTTTTTTTTTTCAATCTGTTTGTTTAAGCAAGGGATGAGCGATAAAAGATTACTGATCTCTGTTCCCGCGAGGATGCGTAAAGCGACGCCATTTTGTAACACAAAGCATGATGGGATATAAAGCCCTCACGGTTCATTATGTCGCTAAATTAATTCCCACAAATCGTTGTGTTTTCGTTAAAGAAAGCACGACTACTTATTCTCTTTTCCTAATAAAAACAAAATCAAAAGCAGATTTTGTAGTAATATCTAATTACAAGGAATTGAAAGTATTAAGCGCCGTTTACTTACACGAGCAATTTTTCCTTAACAAGTTTTCCTTGACAAGGACAAATTGCTCGTGTAAATGGGGTAAAATTGACAATTTTTCCTTGTTAAGGAAAAGCTTGTCAAGGACGAAATTTGCTCTTGTAAATGGACAACAAGGAAAATGTGGCAAGGAAAAATTGTCAAGGAAAACTTGTTGACCATTCACACGAGCAATTTTTCCTTCTCAAGGAAAACTTGTTCTTCGTTTAAACGAGCAAAGAAACACTGTCAAGGAGGAATTTTCAAGGAAAACTTGTTGACCAATTACACGGACAATTTTTCCTTGTCAAGAAACTTGTCAAGGAAAATTGCTTGTGTAAACGGCGCTTTATTAAAATACTTCTATCATAATATCCTCAAACAGTTCGAATATGAATACTCGTGGACGTGAACATTTATAGACAAAAACATACAAATTTAAAAAATGCGATATTTTCCAACAATGCAATTTTCCTTCGTGACGCTTTGGTGCCTGGCGACGCAAGAAGAAAAAAACAAATTCCATGATTTCTTGCAGAGCTAAAATTGTTTCAAAAAATTGCTGTTTGAAATTGTGTTTGCTCGCATTTTACTGTGCAAAATCAGTGCGCGTGCTTTTCTTGGCGTGCATAGCATTTTGTGTCATCATATACTTCACAATAACTTCACTTCATACTGGAGATGAAATTGGACTAATTCAGTTTTTATTGTTTATAATGTATTTTGAAATACTGTACAGTTGAAAATTCTGCATAAAAAAAATAAATGCGTTGTATGCAAATTATTTCACATTATAAACCGCACAAATATTGAAGAATATGATTTCACATGCTAATAATATGCATGAAAACGATTGTGGCCCTTTACTTTGTCCGTCATCTTGGATTGCGCAAGTTTGGCTTCCTTTGAAATCACAGAACTTAAATCTTAATTCTCTATCTTGGGCTCTATAAAACTCATTAATTTTGCTTTTGTCTTTGTTAATATTTCTTTTTGAGTTTCAGTGAGATTTCACTTTCTATCTGAAGCTCAGACTATGATATCTAAACTCCAAGATGGTGGACACAACAGTTATCAACGAAAAGAGGAAAAATATACATAATTAAAAAAAAWTKTTAAATTTTCCGAAAGAAGATATAGTACCTTCGATCATTTCTCGGTTTGGTTTTGCGGACAAAAATAATTTGACTTAAATATTGACAAAAAATCTAGTTAAAATATTAATATCAACACATCTGCAGAGTTTCGTGAATTTTTTTTACAGTAGTAAACTGAACATAAAATAATCTAGAATATGTACAAAAATAATTTTAAAATAGATTTGTCGAATATTGCGCATGCTGCAATCATTAAAAGCGACGCTGAAGAAAAAAATATATCTTAAAAAATATTTTTTGATGTCAAAAATGAAGGCAACATCAATACGCACACAAAATGCACGTAATTGTCTTATGAGAAAACTTGAACTTTTCTTTGTATTTAAACTTTGAAAGCAATTCGAATATAAAACATCTTAATTTAAAAAATGGAATCTTAAAAATGTCGACCTGAAAAGCATGAATGAAATGGCCATTTACCGAGTTAAACTCGCTTTTTTTCCGGTTTTTAGTAAACTTGAAATCTTGTTCCTTATATGAATGTTCTTCAGCTCGAGAATCTTCGTGTGCAGTTCGTACAGAATCGATCTCCGAAGTGAATTGTTTGGCCACAAGATTCACATCGCTGAGAACCATTTTTTACCGACTTTTCTTCGCAGTGTTCTCTATCATTTTCGATTTCTTTCTTCGGGCTGACGACGTCGCCATTTTGATGMGTGCTTCTTTCTTCTTGAGCAGTTCCCTCGACGGCTTCTGAGTGCGATGGAAAAGAMGATGGAACGCCAAACGGTGGRGGTGTCCCTCCAGGGAACATATACGATCCAAAAGGGAACATTCCAGGGGGGACCAGGAAACGATATCCTCCGTTAGCAAAATTCATCTTGTACAGCGGTGGAACAAGGTGATTTGCGACAGGCGCGTTGGTATCCATACATCCGGGAACTGTCATAGGAATTCTGGGAACTTTGTCGTATTGAGAAATAATCTCGATGGCGTGAAGAACGTTACCGTTGCATCCTTTGAGAACAAGATCTAAAATCGTTGGGGAGTAATTGGGAAAAGCACGACTCAACACTTCTTGTGGCATCGGGAGGTTTGCGTTGCAGGCACCATCTCGTATCGTTGGAGGAGAATCCAGGTTTTGTCGCTTGCTACCAGGTGCAGACGAGCTGAGATCACTTCCGGGGCTGTTGGAACCGGAATCACTGGAGTGGTATTTTCGTTTGCAGTAACCTTAAAAGTAAAGAAGAARAAAATTGTTATAAAGAAGAACTTCATGAAAAAACAGCCACCATTTTGATTACCCACAATGCAACGGGAGGCTGGTATTTATAGCAACGTCCCGAGGTGTATACCGATTTAACCAATAAGTGATGCGAAATGAGAAATGTAAACTAAATGTATTATGCACATGGCACAATTACTACCCAAAGTTATTTTATAAGGTTGATTGAAATCTAGATCATTCTTTCTCGAGCGAATAAGCAATTTTGTTAACAAGTCAGATTGATTGACAGCGCAAAAACCAATTTTATCTCGTACCATTGTCTTGGCAATGCCAGCAACTAGTCGGAACGAGACCTCGTAAATTGCAAAGGGAAAATTTAGATTATTTGTTGAAAACAAAAGGCAAATATTTGATTTTTCCCGTTTTTTCGTTGTTTTTTTTGGTGCTACAACAATTTTGTWGCGATGGCAAGAAATATATAGCTTGTACTGAAATCCTTACGACCAATTTTCGATTTCGGAACTTGAAATAAAGAGATCAAAAGCAAAAGACTTATGAAAATGTAATTAGATCATAAAAATTGTTTATCATTATTATTAAAGTTTATCACGCTTTGTTTGTCGCAGTAAACAATTCAGAAATGCACTCTGATTGTTTAAAAAACAAGTTCACCTGTACCGTGAAGCACTCTGTAATATTAATAGACCTCTGAAGCTTTTAAGTCATCTACCGTATATGCAATGCATTGGATATGTTTGGGACAAACATGGTGGATTTGTTTTCTCCAGAAACTGATCCACCCAATGCATTGACAATATAGGTGACGTAAAAGCTTTAGATTCTCTATTCCCTGACAGGAGATCTAAATCCTAGAAAGTATTGCCATTTCACAGTAAAGCTGCTATTAAAGTTAATTTGCAGTAAATAAGTTATTTTTAGAGAATCCAATACAGACTTCTATGGGATAATTTCTAAAATTTCTAAAAGTAATGCAAATAGTACAAATAAATGCCGAAAGAAAGCTTGTTTCATGTTACCATCAAATGTAATTATTACAGAGACACTTTCTACTTCAAAGCAAAATCATAATTTGACAATAAAATACTTTTTTAATTACAAAAAGATTTTCTTTTATTTCAAACGAATCCGACGAGTCGCTGACCGCGCCGAGCGGCAAATTTGAAAAGTCAATGTATTGTTACGTTAAACTTTGAAGTTTTACGCAAAGCGATAACGAAACACTGTGTATTTACAAACAATTTCAAAATTTCATATGAAAAGTTAGCTTATTGTTACGTTTAACGTTGAAGTTTTACGCAAGGCGCCAACAACTGAACAGGAGTTTGAGAATTTTAACGTAGACGCTAAATTTATCGTTGCGTCAAACTAATATCGTTACGGAATGCGAAGCAGCAGTTAACTCGATGCGCTTTCAAAATTTTCTTTCATAAGAAACGCTGATTTTGTCGGTTGTGTGGCCAACGTAATACGTACGAATTTTCAATCGGAACGCACTTTTCAAGCTTAGAAAATATAAGTATTTATGATCACCAAAGAAAGNACTCACTACCTCAACATTCATTATTTTACTACACGACACTCCTCACAGCTAGTTTTTGATGGAGGGAGGAAAACCAGCGGACCTGGAGAAAAACCCTCGGAGCAAGGAAGAGAACCAGCCTACAAACTCAAATCACATATAGTCCCGGACCAGGAATCGAACCAGGACCACAGCGGTGATAGACCGGCGTTTTAACCGCTCGGCCATCCTTGCTCCCCCATAACAAATAAGCCGAAAGGCGCAGAATACAGAGTAATAAAGCGTAGTATGCATTGTAAAGCGTATTTTAGAGGATTACAGAGAAGTCCAAAAACCTGTGAAATAGACATTAAATACACCTTAGTACGCTCTAGTTGTATTGTCAGTTTAGTTTCAGTTATGTCTATTTGACTATCACACCTAAATAGTCAAATTTTGTTTCACGGGTTTGATGACCTCACTCAATGAAAACAGCTGTATCACATTAGTACACCTTAGAACTGAGACTAGAGTGATTTCTGCGACCGCCACAGAACAGTAAGGCTAATARAGCCGGTATTTTGTATGACTGAGCAAAGGAATGCTTAGTTATCCAACATAACGGGTGTGAGTAGCCTCCCACGCAGGCAACTCTACTTTGTGGGATTCCTGTGTTAAGGCAAAAAAAGCTGCCTGAGGGGAGAGGGTTAGTGGGAGTTCCTAATCTCTCGACACCAGCTCTTCTCGGTCAAGATCATGAACACAGGAAGACCAAGAAGAGAAGAAAGTGCGTTTCCGCTAGAGTAGCCTGCAAAGGAGACTAGGCTGTCATAACAGATTTACCTGATGAGCCAATAGTTGTGAGTGCTGCGAAGCCCATAATATGTACTCGGTAACAAACCCCAACGCATCGTAGCGCGTTGCTTGCACCAGCTGCGGTATGTAAAACAGAATAGAGTCYGGTGGGAATGACTGAAGCACACGTATCGCGTACTGTGCTGTCAGAGGRTGCGGGGGGTACTGCTGAGAGAACAGGGCCATAGCTTGGACGGGMGGGACTGGTGCCCAGCATAACGCATGCGTCAGCTCAGGAATGTCGGTCTTGACGGTTGTTGTGGTAACAAGGTACTGAAGAGAAAAACAAAATATCAAATGTTATGAAAGGGCAACTACAATGTAAACTAATAGATTTTAGAAGAGTATATTAATCCCATTGTTTTCTTTCCGCTAGATTCCTGTGTTTAGCATAAWAGCTTCTCGKCACCAGTTCTCCTCGGTCAAGATGCTCGACACAGGAAGACCAAAAAGACAAAAATTTTGCTTCCCTTGGAATAACTGTG